TCGCTCATAAAACCGGTATATTTATACCGTATATTACAAAATTATCTATTACATTATAATTCTGGGTTCCGATGTGTAAATGTCGACACTTTTTGACAAGGTCGACACATTTTTCTTCCATTCTGGACATAAAGTACCGACACAATTAAAAAGTGTCGATATAGGTTGTAGACCTATTCGCTCATAAAATCGGTATATTTATACCGGTTATATTAAAATTATCTATTACATTATAATTCTGGTTCCGATGTGTAAATGTCGACACTTTTTGATAAGGTATCGACACATTTTTCTTCCATTCTGGACATAAAGTACCGACACAATATTAAAAAGTGTCGATATAGGTTGTGTCGATATAGGTTGTAGACCTATTCGCTCATAAAACCGGTATATTTATACCGATTATATTACAAAATTATCTATTACATTAAGTTATGGGTTCCGATGTTTTTTCAATCGACACTTTTTGAAAAGGTATCGACACATTTTTCTTCCATTCTGGACATAAAGTACCGACACAATATTAAAAAGTGTGAAAACTTTGTTGTGGATATCATGAAAACAATGATATAGTAATGTGTTTCGATACATTTGCAAGCAGATGTAAAATACATTAATAACTAGTATTGATATTCAACAATCCTCAAATGTATATGTATACAGAGAAGCAAATATGGAATTAATGAAAATATACACACAATATAATCACACCAAATATACATACACAAGAATGTTCAAATAATGTACCAATAAACGAAATTAATCCGATGAAAAGGGGTTATTTCTAACGAAGTCCGGAACATTATAGGCCTTCAACAAATTTTCCAAATACTCTCGTATTTTCCGCCTTTTTCTGAGGACATACATAAATAATTTCAATATCAAACTAATGAGGTGCAATTTTACTAACAATAACTAAATCCGATAAGCATGAATAAATTTGTGTCATACCTAGAGCATTGTCGTTCGAATGGGAAGCAGCATCAAAGGTATGTGGACATATGTAATTGTATTTCTATATAAACACATAGTTGTTAAAATAATCAATGTCTGAACACCTGTTCAACTGGAAAAACATATTGCTAAATGCAACTTACCGGATTATAAATCATTTTTTCCGCTGAATCATCGACCAAAAGTATATTAGCTCGTTAAAATCTGACACGCGTTCCAAACATCATTGAGATCTTTACAGTAGGTAACAGTATCGTATGTTTTGCATTTTGCTTGATCCTGTTCACAAACAGTCGAACATAAATATGTAGGAATCATAGACAACGAAAAGTCAGCAAACTGTAATTACATTCATCTTACCCAAAGAATAGAAAATGCTCAGAAAATAAAGGTAGTTTCTCAAGTACACGGTCGATGTTATGCCTGAGATTGTAATCAAGTTTGAATGTTAACATTCAAATGTATATTAACAATTTTGACTACAGTAATTCAATTGCTCCAAACATGTTCTAACCTCATCTTTGAAGACCAAAGGGCAACAACAAAATTGTCGACACAAAATTGCATAAATTCAAATAATCCTGTTCTGAGGACAACATATACAACATGAAGAAAATGAGATTAAAGTTCTACGCTTATATGTTAAAATAATGGATACAAAAGAATAGAATTAAAACCTCCAGGCAGTCTTGGGAGGTAGGCAAGGACACCATTGAGAACAAAAATTAAAAGTTTTCTTGAAGGCGGCGTTGCAGACACGATATACTTGTTTGGATCATCATCATCATCATCATCATCGTCATCTTCATCGTCATCTTCATCGTCAGCTTCATCTTCACTGACCGTTTGTTGTCCATCTGTTAAAAGAAAATAAATACAGTTCAGAACGTGTAAATGTTTATAAACATAAATAATGAATTACCTAACTCGTTTGATGTCGTTGACGTAATTCGTCACGCAACATGGAGACTTCATGTTGCAATGATGAAATATCGGATCGCATTCCACTCACAAGGGAATCAATATGCTCCTGAAAATTGACCATGTATTCCATCACGGTCTTAATTGTGACATCCTCTGCAACTGGAGCTTCTTCCATCATTGCGTATCTACTTGGTTGCTCTTCTTCATGGCCAACAGGGTCCATTTCCTCCCTCTCTTGATCTAATCTGACCTCTTTGACACGCTTTCAACCGAGTTTTTCAACAAAATCATATCCCATTTTTTTAATAAATACCATGTCAATCTTGCGGGTTAATCGAACAGGGGCGTCATGCGAAAAATCAACTTCCTTCTTCTTCAACAGATGGGTGATGACACATCCATATGGTAGTGTAGTTGAAATTGTTGCTCCCTTTGTGACCATATATACAATTGTATTAAATATGAGTTTTGCAAATACCATGTGAGCATTTTGTGAAACACTCTCGACTCTACATTGAGGTGAATTGGGCTATTTCTAGCAACAGTTTAATTGTAGACCAATCTACACCATTTTCATCTGAATCCCCTTTATTCGCTACACCTAACCCTCCGTAATAGTTTCCGGAGATATATATATATATATCATTCCCCATGACATGTGTATTAATTCCTATTATATTAGTCTTATTAGGCTCGTGCTGTAAGGAAGCATTGTTGTAGAAGACTCTAACTAGGTTGGGATAATATTGGTTCTACACCAAGGAATTCAAGCCAACCCAAGATGTAAATTTGGATTTAAAACTAAATGCATATTTATCATCAAACAAGAAACCAGGTCAATGACACGTTCGGGACGAATCTTCCTTACTTTAAAACTCGTATGCCATATCTTGTTTCTCCATATCGGATCTAAAGTTCAGTTCGAATGACCTGATTTCCTCAGAAGAATCGTTTGTTTCAGAAGGAGGTTGTGGTTGAGAAGAACTGGGTTGAGAAGAGCTTTGAGAAAGACCGCGCTTCTGACACTGACGTTTTGGAGCCATTTTGGTTGGATGCTATTACAATGGAACACAAACATTCAGGAAAAAAACTCCAATATAGAAATCAATCAAACCCATAAAATATCGATAAATTTACCTGAATATCTGATCGTCACTGTTATGATAACGCTAGTATTCTTCGGAGAAGAGTTATTCTGCCTGCCTATGTTTAGGGTTTTCGATTTAGAGTATATATTAACGGTGGGAACACTTAAATTAGTATCGACAAAACATTAAACAGTGTCGATACATTATATACCAATTCTCCCATAAAACCGGATATACTTATACCGGTTAGATTGAAAAATTACCTAATACATTATACTTTTGGGTTTCGATGTTTATGGGATCGACACTTTTTATATATGGATCGAACTTATGGTTGCATCCTGTTTGCCATTCATTCTGGACCAAAAATATCGACACAAACTACAAAAGTGTCGACACATTATTTAGACCTTCTCTCATAAAACCGGTATACTTGTACCGGTTAGATTGAAAAATTACCTATTACATTACTTATGGGTTCGATGTTTATGGGATCGACACTTTTTATAGGATCGACACTTATTGTTGTACCCCTGTTGCCATTCATTTGGACCAAAATATCGACACAAACTACAAAAGTGGTCGACACATTATTTAGACATATTCTCTCATAAAACCGGTATACTTGTACCGGTTAGATGAAAAATAACCTATTCCATTATACTTATGGGTTTCGATGTTTATCGGATCGACACTTTTTATATATAGATCGACACTTTATTATTGCACCCTGTTGCCATTCATTCTGGACCAAAAAATATCGACACGAACTACAAAAGTGTCGATACATTATTTAGACCTATCTCATTAAAAGCGGTATACTTGTACGATTAGATTGAAAAAGTACCTATTACATTATACTTTTGGGTTTCGATGTTTATCGGATCGACACTTTTATATATGGATCGACACTTTATTGTTGCACCCTGTTTGCCATCCATTCTGGACCAAAAATATCGACACGAACTACAAAAAGTGTCGATACATTATTTAGACCTATTCTCTCATAAACTGGTATACTTGTACCGATTAGATTGAAAAATTATGTTTTCCATATTGTAAATTTGCCTTTTACTTTAAAGTGAATTTTGTAGTTATTGTACATACCATCAATATATATGGAATGGCCATTCATTCTCGCACATGATGACAATTATGATGACATTTAGTATAATACAGACAATAATCTCCATATATCGTAAGTATCAACATGACCCTTAATGTGTATAAGAAACATGTACAACAACATACTGCTAACTTTTCTCATCTCATTCATAATTATATTCACATACAAAATTATAAATCGTATACAAAATTATAAATCTTATACAAAATTAACCCTACATTTACATCATTGCATCCTTTTGTTATTCTTATGTATGGCAGCTTTTGTTATCTCCTGTCTTCGTTGATTTTGATTGTGGCTTACGAGATCGTTTAATATTCGCGATCGATCCCACTCTCCAACAACCTATATTCAAATTGTCAGAACGTTAAGTATTGTAAACTACATCATTCAATCTACGACTTTTAACAATTTTACCACAAACAAATTTTTCTTTCCACTTACAAAATCACCAGTTGCCCCTGTAAAACCGATCGATTCCATCCACATCATCACATACATGCCGCAATCATGTCTGTTACAAAATTTGAAAACCACACATGTCAATTATGATGAATACTGCATAAATTAAGCTTTCTATTTGTGATAACATCTCATACCCATTCAATTTTTTATTCTTCTTATGCTCCACAAATTTGAAAATTTTCAAGGGATACTTTCCTAGAGATCCACAAGATTCAACCCAAATGCGTTTCTTATTATAAAAATCTAATATTTTAATCTGCATTAAAATAGAAGAAGTTATGATCCAAAAAAATTATGCATTATAATTTACATAATGTCCTTTCATACATACATACATACCAATCTCTTAGCATCCTTCACTCTCTGTTTAGTTGTTTCAGTTGTAAACATACTATCATATATTGTTGCAACACGATCTACCATATCCAACACCAATAGATACCAATGTGAATTATGGTAGTTTATTGTGATCATGATCTGCAACAAATTTCACACCCAATTTGACAAAATTCAACATTCTATATCCGAAAACATCATTTGAAATTGGTATGGTGTCTTACCTTCTCATAGTCGGTGAATTTCGCATAGTTATTCAATATGGGACCCAAGAAGGTAGCAATACTCTCAACACTTTCTTTGTTGTTGGCATCCAACGCCTGCTGCTGCAATTACGCAACAAACATTATTAATTTACCGTCTATAACACTACTTATCTCCATTTATTAATTTAACTCACCGCTAAGTGGTATGGAAGGTAGCCAATCCTCCGGAGCTACTTCTGAGAATCGTAGCATACTGTCCAGGCGAGCAAATCAATAACCTAACAAAATTAATTACACAATCAGAACATATTCAATAAGTTTTAACATTTTCTACTTTCTACTTACCACACCGCCAACCCATTCCGTAGGCTTCAATGTTGCAACGTCGTATACACTAGCGAATTGATTTCCCATTGAGATTACAGAATATCTGTATGAATCATTAGGATTAATATGTTGTCATGAAATATTTAAATATAACTCACAAAGCAATATATTTCACTTACTCCGATTCTAACTCACTATTCCATAAATAATCACAAATTGCAGCTTCGATGTCATCAATTCCGCTTGGAATATCCGCTTTTTCAACCTACAATTTTGCATACAAATTTTTGTCACAACAACATAATAAAAATCAAATTAAGTTTTCTTTTATTCAACTTACCTTATGCTTCTTCTTCTGGGGTGCAGGACATTCCGAATCCAAATCTGCTGCTATAACACTCTCCGGTGTATAAATGACATCGACTTCTTTCCTCCTCATTTCTTCTATCTCTTCTTCTTCCTCCTCCTCTTTTCTTCTTCATATTTTTTCAGTTCATCGTATTTTTTTCTACATAGCTCTTCATCTCTTTTATTCACCCTTCAATTGATCTCCTTCATCCAAGTATTTATCAACCACCCTTCACCCCCGTAAGTTCACTCCTAAATTCCACAACCTCCTTCACCACTCCCTCAAATTTTTCACCCCGTCACCATCTTAATATCACCCCTTAACACCTCAAATTCTTTCACCACTTCACCCCTCAACTCCTCTACTTCTTTCACCACTCCATCTATTTTTCCTTCCACTACCCTTATGCCTATCAAGTGTATCTTCGACTCTCTCAAGTTTCTCTTTGACTCTATCAAGTTTCTCTTCTCGATTGTCTTTGCATGATATCAAATTGGATTTTTTTGATATCATCCAATTCAGACATCAAAATGTCGAAGTTACTATGTTTTCCCTTACCGTCGTCCCACTCACCGTCATCCCCCAATACAACCATCTCTCATTTCTTCTCCTCTGCCTCCTCTACATCCTTGCCAATAACCTTTAAAATTAAATTAGAATATTAAGACATTGATTATATTCTTATATTTAATTACATTTATTACCCTTTCTTGCTTCTTCGCTCTATCCAACTTCAACTTCACCATCACTCTAACCACCTCTTCCTTCCCCATGCACGGATGCGTGCCACTCCGGTTCTTTTATAAGCCGACACTGCCTCACAGCCCGACAAAAAATCGAACAGTGCAACCTGCATTATAATAAAATTTATATTTTTATATAAAAACACAAAAAAGTTCTTCAACTCATTTACCTCTAAGATTGCTATGCACCCTTTGAGGTATCTCTGGCTGCCCTTTTTAAAGGTGATTATTGATTCAATCAATCTCGAATGGATATATTCAGCCCAATTGAATTCACCCTTCAAGCCTTCATCGCAAATGAGCTTCATATGTTCCTTGTTCGTTGACGTATGACCTGTTGGACAAAGAAAGATACCGACAAGGTATAATAGAACTCTAGCCTTCAGCTCATCCCCAACATAAGATCCACTTTTTATTTCCTCTTCAATTTCAGCATATGTCACCTTCTGCTTCAAACCATATTTGGAGGCAAGTGCTTTCCAATCCTTACTCTTACAGACTTCTACAACACTTTTGCCTTCATTTTCTACCCCCAATACGGCTGCAGCACATGGGATCTCGAGAGGAAATGAAAAATCACCATACTTAGCAATACATTGTCTGACATCAAATTGCGCCATCAAGGATCGACACAATTCCCTCCGAATAGGTCGATCCCTTACTCCTACCAACGATCCAAAACCTATTTCTCCCAGCACATTCAACTGACCCTTCTCCTTAAGGTGTTTAATTAATGAATTCACTCTTTTAATGCTGCATCTTGTCGACACTTCCTACATTTTTTAACAATATATAATGTTATAGTTCTTATATATTTTGTATCAACGTATTTACAAGTTTAATGAATACCTTATTTTCATGTGCTTTCCTCCGTTCTTTGTATTCCTTACTATCATTCCTTGACTGTGTGATGTAAGGTTCCTTTTCAGCATCACTCATTGAATTCCATTTGGACCTCACATCTTTTGTCACCTAATATTAAACATAAATGTTTCTTAATCAATACATTAACACTAAATACTACTCAATGTCAATTTCATTTTACATACCGAACCGCTCTGTGTGCCATCTTCCTTCATCCTTTTGCATTCGGCCATACTGTCAACATTTAAAATTTAATCAATTTAAAGTTTATCGATACTTTAATCCAATTACCATTTCAACAAATAACAAAAAGACATTGATACTTACTAGAAGTACATATATCCACCTTTGGTTGCTTTCGAGTCTCGACCTCAATTTCAAAGTCATCTGCGCCACCAACAATTTTCAAACCCATTGACTCTATTTTTCCTTCATATATCAGTTTACGCAAATCAAATTATTTTGTTATATACACTTTATTCAATATACAAATATAGATAACTACTCTTGTGGTAAAACGGTTTTCTTCAAAAGAATTTGAATGGCCACTACAAAATGTGTCGGCATATTTATACAACCTATAATATCATTTTCTACCTATAATATTTAATAAAAGTATCAACATTTATATTTTACCTTCAATATCACTTTCTACCTGCAATCGGTCTCAAATGTTTCTTTACTCCAAAACCCCAAACAACACATAAAAACCCTATTCGCGATTACTGTAATAATAAAAAACTAGGGTCTCGACAACATACTTTTCGATTCGACTGCATCAACAAACAAACAAACATCGCTTTAGAAACACATTCTGAAATGCAGGAACAATTACGCTTCGATTTCAAAAACTCGTCCGTTCTATCGATTTTCAGATGATATTTAGATATGGTCTTTATATTTTCATCGGATATATTATTTATATTTAATCGATACAAATACAAAAGTGTCGATACTGTTATGTCAGGTGTCGATACTTTCGAAAGGATAATTACCTATTTCTTTGAAAGTATCGATAATTTATTACACGTACTTACGAAAGTATCGACACTTTCAATATATCCGGTATCGTTTTACCGGTTTTATCATTTTGATACCGGTTTTATCATATTTTTACCTGTTATATCGTTGTGGATCGATATATTTTTTTAAAGTATCGACACATTATAGGCGCTAAAACTGCTTCTCTTTTAAATTCACAAAGTGTCGATCATTATATAAAGTATCGACACTTTCAATATATCCGGTAACGTTTTACCGGTTTTATCATTTTGATACCGGTTTTATCATATTTTTACCTGGCATATCGTTTTGGATCGATACATTTTTTTAAAAGTATCGACACTTTATATGATTTAAAACTACTTCTCTTTTAAATTCACGAAGTATCGATCCTTATATTAAAGTACCGACACTTTAAATGTATCCGGTAGCGTTTTACCGGTTTTATCATTTCAATACCGGTTTTGTCATAGTTTTACCTGTTATATTGTTTTGGATCGACACATTTTTAATTTGGATCGACACGAACTGACAAGTTAAGTTTACCGGTTGCATAATTTTTTAATATTTCTTCATGACTTGGGCCTACTACATTATTATTAGTCAACATTTCTGATAGCGCTAAACCGAATTTATTAAATATCTTTTTCTAATAACGCTAAATCAAATTTATTAAATATGTTTTAATGTATCCGATAACGTCGTATATTAACCGTATATCCAAATAATAAGAATAGCCGAATCCCAACTCTTTACGGTTCACTTTCTCCACTTGGCTCAAACCCTAACCATCTTCCAATCCATCCTCTTCTGGTTAGTTCCCTTCCCCTCTTTATTTGCTTTCCGGTGATTCGATTGATGTAATTATCATTGTCTTCTTCAAATCTTAGGCCGTTTCTTTTCCTCTTCTTCCTTGTTTGCAAAATCATAATTATTGTTATTTAGAAATCAAATCGATCGACTAAAAGGTAAGAAACCCTGAATTTGTTGATATAAAAACTCTCAAATCTTGGACTATATTGGTGTTTTTTTATAAATACGTTTAACTTTAACGTCTTTTTGCCTTCCAAAACGATTTTTTTTAATTTTCTTCGTAATTCGATAGAATTAAGCTCTTGAAAGTTTGCCTTTTTTAATATTGTTGTATTTAGATTACAATTTATGTGGAAAAAAAAAAGCTTTAGATAAAATGGAGAAAGACGAGCTGATTTGAAAATGGGTGTAATTACATCCAATGGATTCTTGACATGTCATATTTTGTTGGGCCTACCTATCTGTAATCCATGTTAGAGTGAAAAAGAGCCCGCGTAAATTTTCTCGAGAAACTTCTCTCTCCTCTGCCTTTTCCTTTTTTTGCTTTCTCTATTTCCTCACCTTTTCGTGTAATCTGTGAATTTCCCTAATAAGTTGTGGTGGGTTTGTAATGGTTATTGAATTCTGTTATCAATATGAATTTTTTTATTGTTCATCTTCTTCTTTTCTTAACTGTTAATCTTTATGCTTTATGGTTTTTTGTCTGTTTGGTTCCCGTGAAAACTGAGGAGAAAGAGTTTTTTTTTGCGTACATTCTAAGTTATATTAGTAACCTTTAAATTGTTCTTAGAGGCAATTAATTTTTATTTATTTTTGACATCTCAAAAGTAAATTTAATTTAGGTAAAATAACCATTTCTTTGCTCCTAGGAGTTTAGCTGTTACGAGAGAATAGTGAAATTAAAACTAGAAAGTACACGAAAATGATAAAATTACTTCCTTTTTTTTGGAATAGATTACTAGATTCCATAAAATTTTACGTAATTCATGTATAATCCATGCTAAACAAGTGAATTATATTTTCACATTGTTTCAGACACATCTTAGGAGGAAAATAATGGTTAAATTTCAACACAATTTAGATGTCTTACTGGGAAGTGGAAATTTTTATCATGTAATTTCAATTTCTTTACAGTTTGTACTATTTTCTTGAAGGACTTGATTGGGATTGTGCTTCATCTTCTATTTAATTGTTAATCTGTGGCATTCCTCTTTGGTTTTAAATTTCTGGAATTGTGATTGATGATTTGTGTTGTTAAGCAAAACTTTTATGCTGAAAACACTGCAATCATCTAGCCAGATGTTTATGTGATTGTTTTATCTAACTTTGTTTTGTCAGGTATTATGCTCAAGTTTCCTTGTGCTGGCCAAGATTAGTATGGTGGCATCTTGTGTTCTCTAACAATGAACTTTGGATTCCTTAGCTTTCCATGGTTTGGTATTGATCCCAAAAGGGATTCGAATCTGTCTTTTGCTTCTACAGGCGCTTCCATAGAGCCTAAACAGAAAACTAGTTTTGAGATCAGGGTGTGGGGATGGACCCTAGTTTCAGTTCCTCCCAAGGCAGTGAATGGTAATGATAGAAATCGAACTCCAACCACTATAAACAAAGGATTGAAAAGGCGTGCACAACAAAATCGGGTTACTGAGCCTCCCGCACCTATCCGGTTTAGGCCATATGTTTGCAAGGTTCCATGGCATACAGGTGCTAGAGCCTTCCTTTCACAGTTATTTCCACGTTATGGACATTATTGTGGTCCTAATTGGTCAAGTGGGAAAGATGGTGGATCCCTTATTTGGGATAAGAGGCCGATTGATTGGTTAGATTTTTGCTGCTATTGTCACGATATCGGTTACGATACTCACGACCAGGCAGAGCTTCTGAAAGCTGATTTAGCATTTCTAGAATGCTTGGAGAGACCTCATATGAGCACAAGAGGTGATCCCTATGTTGCTCAACTTTACAAGACAATGTGCACCACAGGTATGTCTAGTATTCTGTGTGCTTTAACATAATTGTAGATATGTATGTGTGTGTGTGAATAGGAGAAGGAAATAGAAAAGAAGTCGAATGCAATTCTTCTCTATTTACTGCTTCCGGTCCTTGTTTTCGAGGCCAATCTTGCAATGAACACGGTGATGATATTGATTTGATGCTGTTTTTTTTGGCTGTGTTGAGTTAGCATGTTTATTCTCAGTGTTCTACTCAATGAATGGCAGGTCTGAAAAATATACTAATCCCATACCGGAGGCACCTTATAAAACTACAATTTGGGCAACCTCTAATCGATTTTGGATGGATGAGTAATCTGACAAGGAGAAGTTGGAATTTTCAGAAAACTTGAAAGCAGTTCATGCAACCTTGGCGAGCAGGTTATTCAGATGGCCCAGTAACTGGATTTTCGAACAATGTTCTGTCCTATCCTATGGTTTCATCGATGTCGACTTTCAAGAGTGAGCGGCTTATCATCACGGCCTTCATTAGGAATATGCAATACTGATCTTATTTGAATTTGCAACAGGTGTTGTACGATGTAAATAATTGTTGCTGCAGTGCCTGCGTATGCTATTTGAAACAGTGAATATTATTCAATCGACTTTGATAAAGCACAGGCCATGGATCAGTTAGTGTTTATGGGGTGTAAATATAGGGTCTGGATATGGCTATAAAATTTAATCCTTTCTTGGCACATGAGAAGGCGTTTTACTCTAATTTTTTACAGCTATTATACACAGTAAATATAGATAGATTCTGGGTATGCCATATTTACTCAAATTAGATTGTTAAAGATTTCTTGGTATACAATATGTTTTTGTAGGTCTATTGTAACGTTCTTAAATTTCTGATGTTGAAATCTGGTTGGAGATGATGTTGAGTTCGTTAAAATTTCGAGTCGAGGGTCTTGTATGGAATATTTTAATATTTAAAACTAACTCTGATGTTAAAATATCTCTAATCGAGATTTGGGTCGGGTCGGGTTGAATGATATCAGGTCGGGTATAGGGGATTTTTTTTTTTGGGATTTTTTCAGGTCGGGTTCGGGGCAAGGTATCCCCGCCCCGATTATATATATATAATATTTTATATTTTTTTTATTAATTATATATATAATATTTTATATTTTTTATATTAATTATATATAAAATATTTTTGAGTTCAGGTTTGAGTATAATATTTCGGGTCGGGTTCGGGGACGAGGTAAAAAAAATCCCGACGGGCGTCTCGATAAAAAATCCGTCGGGATCGGGAACAGGGATTCATTTCGGGTTCGGGGACGGGGCAAGCAAAACTCGCCCCGAACCCGACCCGTTACCATTCCTAATTATAATTGAAGTGGATTTTGATGACCCAATATTCATTCCTTAATTCATGGAACCTTCGACTATTTTTTCTTTTACTTTCTAGTAATTAAAAAAAATATTTGTTAAATTTTTTCTTAATTATTAACATCATATATTTTATTTTATTGGTGTACCGCTCATCTCTTTTTTTTATTTTTATTGATCGGCAACACTAATTTTAATGTTGATTGTCGACTGCCGATATTCTTTATTATATTTTTCTTCCTTATATCATATCTTTATTTTTTTGTTTTTTGATTTTCAATAAGTCTATTGTTTTTGTACGTTTTCATCTGTCTTTATGGCACATTTTCTTTTTTTTTGTCATTTTTTTGTTCTTCGGCCTTTTTTCATTTATCTTTTTTCTAAGGATTGATTTGACATCGCCACGACTGATCAAGATGACGCTTATATGATATCTTGTTGATCTTTCCTGCTTTGGACCTTCGTATTGGATTTAAATATCCGCTTTACGTTCGTGGATAGGTTTTCACGTCGCTCGAGTCTGATTTGCGGTTTGTTGATGATCTTTCAATAGCTTAATTCTCTTTTGTGGTTCGTTTGGCCAATGTGATTAGATCTATTTGTATCTATCTTTGTTCAAGTTTCTTGGTTAGATTTAATCTTTCCTTGTATGGTCTTTATGTGGTCTTAAGTTGCTAGTATTATTTAAATGATTATTTGAAAATTTCCTAATTACTTATTTAATTTACTATTGTGATTCTAAATCTTTATTGTAATTTGATATATTTCTTATTTTGAATAATATTTTCTTTCGTTTAAATTAGTATGACAATAAATTATCTTCATAAATTCTCAATACATTTTACTCTTTATTTTAGGGTAACTACATGTTTAGTATCTCAACTATTACTTTTATTCTGTTTTGTTCATCCAATTATTTTTTATTTCAAAATCATACCTAACGTTAAATTCGATTTCATTCTGGTCACCCATGTTAAAAAAAATTAACAGTGTTGCTGATGAGTCACCACAAAAGAATGTTATGTTATCATTGATTTTTTTTAAAAAATACCACGTCAACAGTTATGTTAATATTTTTAATGATGGTGATCAAAACGGAATAAAAGTGATATTTTGGATACTAAACATATAATTTACCCTTGTTTTAAATATTTTTTTGAAAGTTGTAATCGCTATTATTACTGTTTGCGATGATTGTCACTAAATTGCATAAGTTCAATATTCAACATGAAGGGTGCAATACAATGTCCTAATTGTAGGAAAATAAAAAAAGGTCAATGGCTTTATGCCAACAATAGTCGTTCATATTAGATTTATAGAGTTCAATTGAAAAAATAAATATTAGATTTGTGTTCAGAAGATCAAAAAAAAGATACAATGAAAATTTTGATGGAGGTCGTGGCTGAACTTAGTGATAGAGTTTGGGGTAATTTAAAAATTTTAGAGATTTAAATTGGGATTTTTAATATTTTTGAAAGGTTTAGTTTATTTTCTCTCAAAACTATTAGGGGCTAATTAGAATCTTTTGTTTTTTAGAGGTTTAATGAGAATTTTTAAAAATTATGGGAGGGGTTTAATTTAAAACATTCAAAAATTTTAAAATTTAATATGAATTTCTAAAAGTTTTGGAGAGTCTAAATTATTTTTTTAAATTTAAGAGTCTAAATTATAACTTTTTAAATTTTGGGATGTCATGGAGCCTCTAGTATAGCTTATGTTTAGCTACTAGAGAAAGGCAGCTAGGGATGGCAACGGACCGGGTATTGCCTCCCGTCTCCGTCCCCGTTTAAAAAACTCGTACTCGTCCCCTCTTAAAAATCCGCGGGGATTTAAACGGGGATCTTCATCGGGTAATCGGGGAAAACCGCAGGGAAACGGGTATCACCGTTTAGCATAAATGGTTATTTAAACGGGTATCGGGCCAGATATATATATTTAAATTAAATATATAAATATTATATATATTTTTTAATTTAATTTAAATTTATTAATATATATATATAATAATTATTTTTAATATTTATCGGGCCGAATATATATATTTAAATTAAATATATAAATATTATATATATAATAATTATTTTTAATATTTATCAGGTCGGGTATCGGGCCGGGTAATCGGGACGGGGATTACTAAACCCATCCCCGTTTAATATAAACGATTTTCCCCATCGAATTCGGTTTTTTGCCATTCCTAAAGGCACCAATAATGAAGAGCGATCGTCTTAAGTGTTGGTACACTATAACAAGATATGGTCAAAATATTCGAACCCGAACCCGACAGTTTTCAATCCGCCCCGACTTTATAGGGACGTTTTTTTGGGGCTCGGGAAGGGGTGGGTTATAGGGTGTAAAATTTCGAGGTGGGTCGGGACTGGGTTTTAGGTGAAAAATACCGATCCAACCCGATTATATATATATATATATATATATATTACACTTAATATTTTAAGAATTCTATTTATTATTATTAAAATATATTATTTAATTATTAAAATATAAATATTATTATGAAATATATTAATTTAATCATTTAAAATATAATAAATAATTATAAATATATTATTATAAAATATGTTAGTTTATTTTTTTTTAAAATAATAATATATTCGAGTCGGATCGGTGTTTTAGTCTAAAATTCGATATGGGTCCAGGGAAAGAAAATCTAAAATTTTTCAGAGGGACGAAGTAGATTTTAGGTATATGTTTTGGGTTTGGGGTCAGGGTCGGGGCGACCAAAAACCCGGCCCGCCCTGCCCCGTGCCCATCTCTACTATAAAGAGACTTTCATCATATTTATGACGAGGGAGTTTTTAATTTTTTTGAAGAACTTAAAAAATTAATAAAATAAAAGTTTAAGTTTAAGATTAAATTAATATTTTATCTTGATTCAAATTAAAAATTAATTATTTTTTAAAATACCAAATCGTAATCAAAATAATAATATAATAACTAAACTATAAAGAATTGATAATATAAGTACTCAAAACTTTATATTCTAAATTTTAGGGATCAAAACTAAAAAAAATTGACCATAAATGGTAGTTTGCCCCCTCAAAAGGGTAAACTATATATTTAGTCCCAATTACTTTTTCATTTTGTTTTAGTCACTTAACAATTTTTTTCAAAATCATACATAATATTATATTTTAGTTCATTTTGCTCAACTACTATTATAAAATAAGCATAAATATCGACTTAACACATTAATTTTATTCAATGATGACATGACATTGCCTTATGATGACACATTAGCATCATTGTTATTTTGTTAACGTTGGTGATCAAAACGGAATCAAAACATAATATTTGGTATGATTTTGAAAACAAAATAATTGAGTGACCAAAACAGAACCATGATAGTTGGAACACTAAATACGTAGTTTACCGAAAAAATACAGTGCACTGCTTGTTACTGAATATGGTTATCACCTAACACAAACGAAGCCAAGACAAACAAAATTCAGGCTTCGATTCCATTTCTTGTGCTTACCCATGGCTTCCTCTCATTTGCTCCATAATCAGAGTCTCTTCTTCTCATCTCCCTTCAAAAATTGTGGTTTCTCAAATCCTCCCCCAACGAAAGTTCATTTTCAAAGAACCCAATTTGTCAAAGCATCCAAGAAACAGCTAGAGGTCCTCGTTTTAGCTACCCTTTCTGCGTTTTTCTTTTATTTTTAAGTCGAAATCCCAATGTTTTAGTTATTTTTTTCATGGGTTTTGTTTGTTTAGATTGTATATGACCCTGATGAGAGGCTAAATAAGTTAGCAGGTGAAGTGGACAAGGAAGCTCCTTTTTCAAGGCTTACTTTGTTCTCACCTTGTAAGGTAATTTTCTGCATTTGCTTTGAATTTAATTGAATTCGGTTTTATGTTTTGAATTGCAAGTTTGAAACCCATACCCTTTTTCTTCTTCTTCTTCTTCTTTGGGTATAGATTAATGTTTTCCTGAGAATTACCAACAAAAGGGAAGATGGGTATCATGATTTAGCATCTCTCTTTCATGTAAGTTTGTATTTTTTTCCCTCTTAATTCCTACATATACGTATACGTGTGTATGTTGATCAAGGATTTAAATTGCGATTGCCGTCTCATTTTCGGTTGTTGTGTTTATCGTTGCGGACATAACGTATGTTACTGCGGTCATTGCGGACCACTATTTAAATCCCTGATGTTGATCCCCAAACTA